GCCACGGTTTCCAGGAGCCACGGTTTCCAGGAGCCACGGTTTCCAGGGCAACCGGCTCGGGAGAGCGCGAGGAACTGCACGGGAATCTGCCCCTCCCCCTATCTCCTGGCAACGGCTGCTCCCGAGAGAGATCGAGCCCCGCCCACTAGCGGCAACTGCGCCTGCTCCGGGCAGCTGCTTACCCACATCATACACCCCCCACCAAACTGCGCCTCTTCCCTCCAAATTTGATTTTCATGCAGCACAGGATTTATTTTTTTTTGAGTTTCCCATTGACTGAAACTTCCTCTGCGCACCATCTGTCAGTAAAGCGATTTCCAGACCCTCCCCAGGATTTAGAGAGCTGTGGGACTCTGGAGCTGGAATTAGGGCCTGACCTGTTAGGGGTGAAATGGTGGGCATTTTATGCAACCTATTTAATGAGGTATTTCCAATGCAATTAATCCTGTCTAAGGTCAAATCTTTCTAATCTATTTACCACGGGTTGAAAAACAGAGGTGAAGCATTTATATTTGAAGGGAAATCACTCCATTTTTGACCGAGAATCAGCTCGGAATAATAATAAAACTAAGAACTGCGGAGGGTGAAGATCCGAAAGATAAACAGAAATTGCTGGAGAAACTCAGCAGGTCCACTGATGCTGCCAGACCTGCTGAATTTCTCCAGCAATTTCTGTGTTAGAAGAGTTGTTATCTTGGGACATTTGATTCAGCTCAGAGCTTAGCTTAGCTTAGAGAAAAAGATTTTGACTTTCTTTTCAAAATATTTCCTGAAATCAGGGTATTGATGACGTGCGTCACATTATTCAGAGTGAATTGATGTTCTGCTGAAGTAAGCAGTATTTACTATTGTTGGGATAGCAAGAACTGCAGATGCTGGAGTTAGAGATAACAAAGTGTGGAGCTGCAGGAACACAGCAGACCAGGCAGCATCAGAGGAGCAGGAAAGCTGAAGAAGGGTCCCGACCTGAAATGTCAGCTTTACTGTTGTTGGTGTATTTTTTTTTTAAATTCTCCATTAAAATCCAAAGATGTGCAGGTTAGGGTATACTGACCATGCTAAGTTGCCCATAGTATCCAGGGATGAGCCGGTGGATTGGCCATGGGAAGCATGGAGTTTAGGGATGGGGGATGTCGTGGTGGGATGCTCTTCAGAGGGTTGGTGTGGACTCAAAAGAGCTGAATGGCCTGCTTCCACACTGGGGATTTAATAATTAATTGTGTGCATTTATACCTACAACATGATATAGTGAGCAATATTGTTACACCTCACTGGGGTAGCACACTGGAAGTCAAAGAATCCAATTCCTGGAGATGTTTCAGAAGTTAAAGATTTTCAAAAGCGTGCAGAATCGCCCAATTTGCCTGTCTCTCAGAACCAGATTGACAGAAAGCACGGAGTAGTTTTCTCAACAACAATGCTACTTATTACAGACAAATAGACTAACTACAGGTAAAAATAACTATTAGCATACAGCTATACTCATTGAATATCTAACCTTCCTATAAACTTCCCCTCTATATATATATTATATATATATAATACACATACACACACACACACACACACAGAGACAGACAGACAAGTAAAAAAGGAAAGTGTTATCATCACAGAATCATCATAGAATCCCTACAGTGTGGAAACAGGCCCTTCGGCCCAACAAGTCCACACCGAACCTCAGAGCATCCCCCTATAACCCACCCAATCTACACCTCCCTGAACACTACAGGCAATTTAGCACGGCCAATCCACCTAGCCTGCACATCTTTGGACTGTGGGAGGAAACTGGAGCACCCGGAGGAAACCCACGCAGACACGAGGAGAATGTGCAAACTCCGCACAGACAGTTGCCTGAGGGTGGAATCAAACCCGGGTCCCTGGTGCTGTGAGGCTGCAGTGCTAACCACTGAGCCACCGTGTTATGGACAGAGGGAATGAATATAAAGGCAGTGCACATGGCCTTGCTCATAGGACCCACTGAACTGGTCCTTTCTGGCTTCTCAGGACATGCTGTTCCTCGATTGTCCTTACATACTTTTAAGAGTCATACAACACGGAAAGCGACCCTTCAGTCCAACTTGACTATACTGACCAGATTACCTAAATTAATCTCGTCCAAATTTGCCAGCATTTGACCCATATCCCTCTAAACCCTTCATATTGATGTACCCATCCAGCTGCCTTTTAAATGTTGTAATTGTACCATCCTCCACCACTTCCTCTGGCAACTCGTTCCATACACGTACCACGCTCTGTGTGAAAAAATTACCTCTCAGGTTCTTTTTAAATCTTTCCCCTTTCACCTTTTGAACCCTTCAGTTTTGGATGCCCCCACCCTAGGAAAAAGATCTTAGCTATTCACCCAATCCATGCCCCTGATGATTTTACAAACCTTTGGAAGGTCATCCCTCAGCTTTCAACGCTCCAGGGAAAACAGCCTCAGCCTATTCAACCTCTCCCTATAACTCATTTCCTCTAGTCCTGGCAAAATCCTTACAATGTTTTTCTGCACCCTCTCAAGTTTAACAACTTCTTTCCTATAGATGGGTGACCAGAACTGTACGCAGTATTCTAAACGTGGTCTGCACAGCCGCAACATGACATCCCAACTCCTATACTCAATGGACTGAACAATAGAGGTAACTTTTCTATGTGCAACTCCATTTTCAAGGAACTCTGCACCTGCACCCCTAGATCCCTTTGTTTAATAATATACCCCAGGGCCCTACCATTAATTGTATGAGCCTCATCAAAATGCAACACCTCGCATTTACCTAAATTAAACTCCATCTGCACAAGGCACCTTTGCACTCTGAGATAATCTTTGCTCGCTTGTAGAAGGTACAGGGTGGCTGGTTCACACTTATAAATCCTGTGACCCGTTCATTAAGGGCCACAGCATACAGCAATTACAAAGTCATCCAAGACAGAAACAGACCCTTTGGTCCAACCAGTCCATAATCCCAAATTAAACTAGTTTCACCTGCCCATTCTTGGCCCATTTTCATCCAAACATTTCTTATTCACGTACTTATCTATATGAGTTTTAAATGTAACTGCACTCGCATCCACCACTTCTGCTGGAAGTTCATTCCACACACAAACCTCTCTGGTGTAAAAAAATTGCCCCTAATGTCTTTTTAAAATCTTTCTCCTTCCACCATAAAAATATGTCCCCTAGCCTTGCAAACCCCACCATAGGGAAAATACACCTATCATTCACCTTATCTATACCCCTCATGATTTTATAAACCTCTAAGATCACCCCTCAACCTCCTGTGCTCCAGTGAAAAAAGTCCCAGTCTCTCCTTATAACTCAAACCTTCCATTCCTAGCAACATCCTGCTAAATCTCTTCTGAACCCCCTGCAGGTTAATAATATCCTTCCTATAACAGGGCAACCAGAACTGTACACAATACTCCAGAAGAGGCTTCAACAATGTCCTGTACAGCCTCAACATGACGACCAAACTCCTATACTCAAAGGTCTGAGTAATGAAGGTAAGTGTGCTAAAGTGCCTTCTTCACCACCCTGTCTTTATATGATGCAAACTTCAAAGAATTATGTACCTGAATACCTAGGTCTCTAAGTTCTCCAGCACTGCTGAGGGGAAGAAAACAAAACTGGCTATCTTCAGGCTCGAGATGCTTTTTTACTTCAGAGCAAAAGCAGTTCCTTCCTCTCCAGATGTCCGATAGTTTGTGTCAAGATGTTCCCAGTCCAAGTTACTCGGCACCCAATTACAAAGTTATTGGCAAGTGGAAGGCCTTTGTCAACAATAACTGGCCGCTACACCACTGAACAGCCAAAACTCCACTTGTACATACTCATTGGCTCATGCTTGTCTGCAGATTAGGCTTCCACTACTCATAGTCATAGAGGTCTACAGCACAGAAAAAGGCCCTTTGGCCCCGTGAATCTGGATTGGTCATAAACAATATTCTAATCCCATTTTGCAGCACTTGGCCATAGCCTTGGCATTGCAATTGCACACCTAAATGCTTTTCTTTAGAGCGGAGAAGACTTGGGGGGGGGGGGGGGGGAAAACACGATTGAGGTGTGTGAGATTGAGGGGTATAGACAGGGTGAGTAGGAAGCAGCTGTTCCCCTGGGTTGAGGAGTCAAATCACGAGATTTAGGGTAGCTTTAGGGTGAGGGGCAGGAGATTCAGAGGGGATTTGGGAAAAAACGTTTTCGCTCAGCGGGTGGTGGAAATCTGGAATGCACTACCTGGGATGGTCGTGGAGGCCGGAAACCTTACAACCTTTAAAAAATATTTGGATGAGCAATTCAAATATCATTACATTGAACGATATGGGACAAGTGCAGGAAATTAGCGCACTTTTAGTGGTAGTTACATTGGTCCAGGCTCGATGGGCTGGAGGGCCTTTTCTGCAGTGTGTGAATCTGTTCTTAAATGACATGAGGGTTTATTCCTCTATCACCCTTACAGGTAGTGAGTTCCAGATTCCATCACCCTCTGGGTGAGAACATTTTCCTCACATCCGTTCTGAACCTTCTATCCCTTACCTTAAATCCAAGCGCCCTGGTCATTGATCTCTCAACGAAGATCCTTCCTGTTTACCTTGTCTATGCCCCTCACAATTTTATATATCTCAATCACATCGCTCCAAGTCTCCTCTGTTCCAAGGAAAGGAACGCCAATCTATTGACATAACTGAAACTCTACAGCCCAGGCAACATGCTGGTCAATCTCCTCTGCGCCCCTCTCCAGGGCAATCGCATCCCACCCCCCGCTACAATGCGGATTCCAAAACTGTACACAACATTCTAGCAGTTTTGGTCTCCTCGTCTGTTGCTCTGTTAGTTGCTCTGGTTATGGAAGAAGGGGAACAAAGATTTGCCAGCTGATTCCTGGGATAGCAGGACAAACGTATGGAGAGAGACCTGGTCGGTTAGGACCACAATCACTGGTTTTTCAAAGAATGAGGGGGAAGATCTCAAAAAAAACCCTGCAAAATTCTATCAGGACCAGACAGCGTAAATGCAATAAAGGATGCCCCCGATGACCACAGAATCCAGAACCAGGGGTCATGGCATTAGTATATGAGGTAGGCCATTCACGTCTGAGATGAGGAGAAATTTCTTCACCCAGAGAGCGGATGGGCCTGTGGAATTCTCCGTCACAGAAAGCAATCGGGGCCAAAATGTTTTCAAGGAGGAGTTAGGTATAATTATAGGGTCATACAAACGGAAACAGGCACTTTGGTCCAACTGGTCCATGCCGACCCTAATCCCAAACTAAACTAGTTCGACCTGTATGCTCCTGGCCCTTATCCCTCCAAACATTTCTTATTCATGTACTTATCTAAATGTCGCTTAAACATTGTAACTGTACCCGCATCCACCACCTCCTCTGGAAGCTCATTCCACACACAAACCACAGTCTGTGTAAAAAAAAATTTGACCCCCATTTCTTTTTAAAGTCTTTCTCCTCTCACCTTAAAATCATGCCCCCTAGCCTTGAAATCGCGAGGCGTGTAGATCTGGGTGGCACCCGTACTACACCCCTCACGATTTTATAAACCTCTATAAAGGTCACCCCTCAACCTCCTACGCTCCAGTGAAAAAAGTCCCACTCTATGCTTATAACTCAAACCCTCTATTCCTGGCAACATCCTGGTAAATCTCTTCTGAACCCTCTCCAGCTTAGTAATATCCTTCCTATAACAGGGAGACCAGAACTGGATGCAGTGCTCCAGAAAAGGCCTCACCAACATCCCTGTACAACCTCAACATGACATTCCATCTCCTGTACTCAAAGGTCTGAGCAATGAAGGCAAGCATGCTAAATGCCTTAACCACCCTACCTGTGATGCAAACTTTTTTCTGAAGAAGGGTCTAGGCCCGAAACATCAGCCTTCCTGCTCCTCTGATGCTGCTTGGCCTGCTGTGTTCATCCAGCTCTACACCTTGTTATCTCAAAGAATTGTGTGCCTGAATCCCTAGGTCTCTCTGTTTACAACACTACTCAAGCCCCTACTTTTAATTGTGTAAGGCCTGTCCTTGTTTGTTAGTTCTTAGCATTAAAGGGTACGGGGGAGAAAGCAAGGGCAGGGGACTGAGTTGGATGATCAGCCATGATCATATTAAATAGCAGAAGAGGTTTGAAGGGCTGAATGGCCTGCTCCCACTCCTACATTCCACTTTTCTATTTCTGATTTGATAGCAAATTTGCAGCATTCACTGCTGTTCTTCCTGACTCTAAGCACAGTTGGAATAATGTTTCTGTTCTAAGTCTAGGAGCTCTGAACCATTGAGAACAGTGACTGAGACACATTTCTTACACACCTCTCGATTAATCCACATCTTCAGTCCTGGATGTGAACAGCGGCAGCAACGACAGCAGAATCCAAACCCCTGCAATCAGTCGTGATCTACCTGGTGTCTCAGAAGATGGGAGGAGCGAGTGTATCCCTTCCCACACACGGGGCAGGTGAATGGTCTCTCCCCGGTGTGAACCCGCTGGTGTGCCTGCAGGGTGAATGCCCGAGTGAATCCCTTTCCGCACTCGGAGCAGGTGAAGGGCTTTTCCGCCGTGTGAACCTGCTGGTGCTGCAGCAGGGTGAACGACCCCGTGAACCCCTTCCCACAGACCGAGCAGACGAACGGTCTCTCGCCGGTGTGAGCGCGCTGGTGTTTCAGCAGGTTGGACGAACAGGTGAATCCCTTCCCACACGCAGAGCAGGTAAACGGCCTCTCCCCGGTGTGAATGCGCTGGTGTTTCTGCAGGTCACTGCTGCTTTTAAAGCTCTTCTCACAGTCAGGACACTTAAACGTCCTCACGTCGGAGTGGACGAGCTGGTGTCTCAGCAGGTTGGATAAGCGGGAAAATCCCGTCCCACACTCGTTGCAGGTGAACGGTCTCTCCCCGGTGTGAGCCCGCTGATGAATTCCCAACTCAGACGGATAATTGAATCCCTTCCCACAGAATCCACATTTCCAGGGTTTCTCTGTGGTGTGGCTGTCCTCGTGTCTCTCCAGGTTGGATGATCAATTGAAGCCACCTTCACATTCAGAACATTTTATGGTTCCTCCCCGCTGTGAGCGATGTGATGTTTCTCAGGCCATGTAATAGTCTTTTTCACGGTCAGTGCACTGAAACATGATCGCTCAGGCGTGTGCACATTGGTGCTGTTCCAGGCACACTGATGTTTGAAATCTTCCCACTGACAGAACAAACATTTCTCCTTCTACATTCAATGGCCGATGATCTTCAGCATCTGTTGAATTGAGTGAATCAGTCAGATGCTTGTGATGTTTGGTTTCCATTTCCTGTTCGCAAATAATTTCATTCCAATCCTCTGTAAAAGGAGTTGAGTGTCAGCATCATGATCATTGCAGGAAAGAAATTCACAACAGGACATTACAGTTTCTACAGAACATACTTTCCTTTCTCTAGTTTTCTGTAAGGTCATTCAGTTGAACTAAAAGACAGAAACTTCAGAATAAAGTCCCAACATAAACAAAGGCAACCTTTCTAACTAAATTCACTTCTGGTCTCCATGCTAGAGGAACGATGTTGTGAAACTTGACAGGGTTCAGAAAACGTGTTGCCGGGGTTGGAGGGTTTGAGCTGTAGGGAGAGGCTGAATAGGCTGGGGCATGGATAGGGTGAATAGCCCAGGTCTTTTTCCCAGGATAGGGGAGTCTAAAAGAAGAGGGTATAGGTTGATGTGAGAGGGGGAAGATTTAAAAGGGTCCTGAGAGACAACTTTTTCAAGCAGAGGGTAGTGCATGTACGGAACAAGCTGCTAGAGGAAGTGTTGGAGACTGGTACAATTACAACATTTTAAAGGCACCTGGATGCGTACGTGAATAGGAAGGGTTTAGAGGGAAATGGGCCAAATGTTGACAAATGGGACGAGATCAATTCGGGATATCTGGTCGGCATGGACGAGTTGGACTGAACGGTCCGTTTCTATGCTGTACACCTCTATGACTATATTAAACACCATGTTACTCCCAGTGTTGACAGGAACTCTATCATAATGAGGTCAGCACTGATTGCGGAAGGTGTCAAACATGTGATCCCTTGCCAGGATAACCCACGGTCAGAAATCACATGACACCAGGTTAGAGTCCAACAGGTTTATTTGAAATCACAAGTGTCTGGAGTGCTGGTCCTTCACCTGATGAAGGGGCAGTGCTCCGGACACTTGTGATTTCAAATAAACCTGTTAGACTATAACCTGGTGTCATGTGACTTCTGACCGTATCCACCTCCACATCAGGATAACCCAGGCAATGGCAAGATTATGGAAGCAGAAACCGTCAGATTAGCTACGATCTTAACGAATTGCGAACCGGGATCGATGGGGCAAATGGACTGTTTTTGCAGCTATTTCATTTTTACACTCAGAATGGCTGTCCCCACTCACCCCATCCTGCTGCTATAACCCACAAAGCAGCCTGGTCACCTAAGTTGTACAAATCAGTGTTGTAAGCAAGCGCATGCCAGTAGAAAAGCAACGGAAGCATCTTCCCAACATCCACTTTGTCCAGGTCTTCAGTATTCTGAAAGTTTCAATTTGATCCCCCTCATCCGTCTAAACTCCAATGAGTATAGTCCCAGCATCCTCAAACGTTCCTCATATGTTAAGCTTTCCATTCCTGGGACCATTCGCGTGAACCTCCTCTGAACCCGCTCCAGGGCCAGTACATCCTTCCTGAGATATGGGGCCCAAAACTGCACACAATACTCCAAATGTGGCCTGACCAGAGCCTTATAAAGCATCAGTAGTACATCCCTGCTTTTATATTCAAGTCCTCTCAAAATAAATGCCAACATTGCATTTGCCTTCCTGACTACTGACTCATCCTGCAAGTTTACCTTAAGAGAATCCTGGACTAGAACTCCCAAGACTCTCTGCACTTCAGAATTCTGAATTTTCTCCCCATTTAGAAAATAGTCTATGCTTTTATTCTTCTCACCAAAGTGCATGACCTCACACTTTCCCACATTGTACTCTATCTGCCACTTCTTTGCCCACTCTCCTAATCTGTCCAAGTCCTTCTGCAGCCTCGCCACCTCCTCAATACTACCTGTCCTTGCACCTATCTTTCTATCATCTGCAAACTTAGCCAGAATGCCCACAGTTCCTTCATCTAGATCATTAATGTACAAAGTGAGAAGTTGTGGTCCCAGCAACGACCCTTGCGGAACACCACTTGTCACTGGCTGCAATCCTGAGAAAGACCCCTTTATCCCTACTCTCTGCTTTCTGCCAGACAGCCAATCTTCTATCCATGCTGGCACATTGCCTCTAACACCATGGGCCCTCATCTTACTCAAGTCAGAGATGTACAGCACAGAAACAGACCCTTCAGTCCAACTCCTCCATGCCGACCAGGTATCCTAAATTAATCTAGTCCCATTCGCCAGTATTTGGCCCAAATCTCCCTAAACCTTTCATATTCATGTACCCATCCAGTTGCCTGTTAAGTGTTGTAATTGTACCAACCTCCACCACATCCTCTGGGAGCACATTCCATACATGCACCACCCTCTGTGTGAAAAAGCTGCCCCTCTCACCTTAAACCTATGCCCTCTTGTTTCGGACTCCTTTATCCTGGGAAAAAGACCTTGGCTATTCACCCTAACCGTGCCCTTCACAATTTTATAAACTGTAATAAGTTCATCTCCTCAGTCTCTGACATTCCAGGGATAATAGCCCCAGCCTATTCAGCCTCTCCCTATAGCTCAGACTCTCCAGCCCAGAAACATCCTTGTAAATCTTTTGTGAACTCTTTCACGTTTAACAACATCTTTCCTATGGCAGGGAGTCAGAATTGAATGCAGTATTCCAAAAGTGGCCCAAATAAATGTCCTGTACAGCTGCAACATGACCTCCCAACTCCTATATTCAGTGCACTGACCAACAAAGGCAAGTGTACCAAATGCCTTCTTCCCTACCCTGTCTGCCTATGACTCCACTTTCAAGGAACTATGAACCTACACCCCAAGGTCTATTTGTTCAGTAACACTCCCCCAGGAGTGTTACCATTAAGTGTATAAGTCCTGCCCTGACTTGCTCTTCCAAAATGCAGCACCTTACGTTTATCTAAATTAAATTCCATCTGCCACTCCTTGACTCACTGGCCCATCTAATCTTGTTTTACAGTTGCGTGGGGCTGAAAGTGCCTCCAAACATTATGATGCAACTCCTTCAAGTCACCATACATGGGCCTGAAAAATACATGGCCCATGGACTCCTCCAGGATGCAAACGTCAGCTGCAACCAGGGGAATAAATGAAGCTGCGAATGAGCCAGTCATTGTCCTAGGCGCTAGGACCCAGTGGTGCAAATCAGGCGCCTCGGCTCCGCCCCCGTTACGTCACACAGGCATTCACGCATGCGCACAGCTCCCCGCGGATCCAAGATGGCGGCCGTTCAGCGGGAGCTGATCCCGGGAAAAGGCCCATGGTCACAAACGCGGGACTTTCAGGTCGTCAAACGAAGCTAGAGGTATTTAGTAAGTGTTTATAAACCCCTCCCGTCCATCCGTCGACTCCAGCGCTCCCTCCCCGATCCCGCATTCTCACCGCCTGCAGAGGAGCAAAAACGCGATGTCTGTTCGTTGTTGTCACCATCTCTGCGCATGCTCCAGACACTGGGTGGGACTACGCTTGCGTACTGCTCGCCTATCGCCTGGATAGGGGACAGTCACCACCGCGGGGGATGGTGGGTAAAGACCCTGCCATTAGTGTATTTTTTTGCCATGAAGTTGAAAGTAAGGCAGAGGTGGTAATTAGACAGTGAACTTTTATCGGAATACTGGCAGCGTAACGGACAATGAAGGGCACGAGCTCCTAAAGTGTTTCCATGAGAATATTCTGCAACATATTTTCTTCATCAAGGGGATTTGGGCTTTGCTGGCTGGGCCAGTATTTATTGCATATCCCCAGTTATCCATACGAAGGTGGTATTGAGCTGCCTTCTTGAATTGCTGCAGTCCACTTGGTGTAGGGACACCCACAATGATGTTCGGGAATGGGTTCCAGGATTTTGACTCAAAAATATGTTTTCAGTAATACAGCAAAGGAGGCACTACTGAAACTCGTTTTTGGAAATGAGATGGGCCAAGTGTCATTCAGTGAGCATTTAAAGGATTGTGATTGTTGTATCATAAGATTTAGGCTGACGAAGAGGATACGGAACAATCCAGAGAACAAACAATTAACTGGGAAAAGCCAACTTTAATGGGGTAAAGATAGACTGGGTTACAAAAACATAAGTTGCTGGAAAAGCTCATCAGGTCTGGCAGCATCTGTGGAGAGAAATCAGAGTTAATGTTTTGGGTCCAGGCTGATTGTTATCCACTCCTTTGTCCGTCCAACTGTTATCCTCTCTCTTTTGTTTCTATGTCCGCCTATCATTTGCTCCTTAACCCCTTCCCCTACCCTATCTTCTGCATAAAAAACAGCTTTTTCCTAGCTACCATCAGTTCTGAGGAAGAGTCACCAGACTCATAACGTTAACTCTGATTTCTCTCCACCAGATCTACTGAGCTTTTCCAGCAATTTCTGTATTTGTTTCTAATTTCCTGTTTCGCAGTTCTTTTAGTTTTTATTTAGACTGGAATTACAGATTGGCAAGAAAATTTGCAGTTGAATAATTGCTTATCTTTTCAGAAGAGGAATTTTTGACACAGTCAAGTCAAGAAAGGTTGGGTAAATGAATCCAGAGCTCCCTGGATGACAAAAATAATTTTCAAAAATTAAGATAAAGGAGAAAAAGAGCTCTTTTGCCAGATGTCAGATAGAAAACATATTTGAGAACAAGGCTGAATAAAGAAATTTCAGTGGTGAAGTGAGAAAACAAAGAAAAATAAACATTGTGTATGAAAAGAGACTAGCAGTCTACATCGAGGGGATTCTATGTTCTAAGATTCCCGTAGAAAATGTAAGTTCTCTATGGGCATATAATCAGTAGATGTGTGGTGAAGGAGCAGTAGGTCCCAATTAGGGACCTAAAAGGGGATTTAATAGGATGTAGCTGAGGTATTAAATTAACATTTTGAAACTGCATTTACTAAAAAACAAATTGTTACGCAGAGCATGGTGCGTGATGCATGATGCAATAGTTCAGGCACTTCTCTGTCTGTAGACCAATCCAGTCAGTCCCATTCCCCCTCCAAATCCTATTTTATTTTCCTGAGCGAACCTGTTCAAAGAGATTATTACACCCCTGTAGAGATGGGACTTGAACCCCCGCCTCTTGGCTCAGACGTAGGGACACTAACATTGCACCACAAAAGCACCCCCCTCAATAACCTCCTGATTTACTTTTATTAATTCACAAGATGTATTGTCAATTGCTAATTTCCCAGAGGAGCATTAAGAGTCAACCACATTGCTGTGAGTCTAGAGTCACATATAGTTGAGATAAGGACATAAGCAAACCAATGGTTCATTCCCAACACTTTCAAAGTTATCATTAGACTTTTAATTCCAAACTCCAATTCCACCATCTGCCATGGCAGGATTTAAACCTGGTTATTCATACCGTTACCCAGGTCTCTGGCTTAATCGTCTGGTGATAATACCATTAGGCCATCACCACCTGCCTACGTTTTTCAAGCATCCTGTTCAGAGATGTTATTACACAGTTCTGGAGCAGGTAGGACTTGAACCAGGCCTCCTGGTCAGAGATAAGGAAACCACACTGCACCGGAAGAGTTCCTTCTATACCCTCCTATCCCTGCAAGTTTATTTACATCAGCTGTTCATCACAATTTCCTTTTGGAATTATTACCACTGTTCCTGCAGGGAGAGAGTCCCAGATTATGATAATTCACTGCCTAAATAAAGTTCTTACTCAGATCCCAATGTATTTCTAATGAAATAATACGTTCTGGCATATTACATCCATTTTTAGTCCAGTTATCGTTAGATTAGAGGACAGAATAGATTAAGTAACAAAAAAGTAAGGGAACAAAAAGCAAAGGCTACAAATTGGTTGCAGCAAGGAAACAAAACGTTGGTCCTAGGGAAGCGTTAATGGGAGAATAAAGCAAGAAAAGGCTCTCCAATTCTGCTCCAAACAACAGTTCCATTGGACTTGAAGCAATCTGTTTCTTTCTGTACAGATAGTGCTGCATTTTCTCAGCACCATTGCCACAGAAGGCTGTGGAGACCAAGTCGTTGTGTGTATTTCCGATAGAGATAAATTAGTTCTTGATTAGGAAGGGGATTGAGGGTTATGGGGAGAAGGCTGGAGCATGGGGTTGAGAACCATCAGTCACGATCTAATGGCTAAGCAGTACTGCTGGGCTGAATGGCCTAATTCTGCTCCTGTATCTTATGATTTTGTTTTACCCGGGCAGGGAGGGTGGGAAGGTATGGAGTGTGAAAGGAGGAGAGACCACAAACCCCGGATAAGAAGCTGGAGATCCCAGTTTGCAGCTCTCGGGCTTTTGCCTGGGAAAAAGACCCTGGTTAATGGGTGCCATCTTGGTTGGGCACTCAGCAGCATGCCCCCACACTGAAAATAAGTGGAGCTTTAGGGTCCTGTGACCAGGAGAGAACTTTACTGTCTCATTAATTTCATTTTGCATAGAGGAGCTGGTGAGTAGCCTGGGTGAGATGATAGAGTCGGATAGATAGATTTCAACCATTCACTGACTTGTTTCTCAGGGCGATGGAGTGACCAATCAGGAGTTCACAGAATCCCTACATTGTGGAAATAGGCCATTTGGCCTATTGAGTCTGCACAGATCCTTTGAAAAAGCATCCCACCCAGATCCAACGCCCCACCCCATCCCTGTCACCCTGCATTTTCCCATGGGCTAACCCATTATCCCTGGGCACTACGGGGCAATTTAGCCTGGCCAATCTGCCCAACCTACACATCTTTGGACCATGGGAGGAAAGCCATGCAGATATGGGGAGAATGTGCAAACTCCATGCAAACAATCGCTCAGGGATGGAATTGAACTTGGGTCCCTGGTGCTATGAGGCAGTTGTGTTAACCACTAAGTCATCATGGTGCCTCAGTTAACCTGCTGAGTTTAAAATCTAAATGTAGTCTAGGAGTTAACTGCCAATCGTCACTAGATGCAGCATTCAACATGACAATGCCTCTCCTAATCAGAGTCCCCTTGTCAATCAATCAGCACTGACACCTCATAGAGTCTGAATGTCGGTTTTCCTCCTCATGGAATTCTTGCAAATTGTCCGGTAATTGCAAGACAAAAGCCTTTGACAAAATCTGTCAGTTTTCAGCTACACTCAAGTTTTGATCTACCAAATGACTATTTATATATAAAATCCCACTCTTTTGCACATATATCTCTGATCACTATCTAACCCTGTCTGCCTATTTCGCTCCTCCAGTGTCTTGTGTAGGTCCAGACAGGCTCCCTTCCCTGATGGACAAGAGTGAACAAGTTTTGGGCTTTTACGACAATGCAGCAGCTTTAGCGGTCACGTTTAGTTCATGGAAAGCCCCCAAATTCATTCATCTCAATTTCACAACCTACATTTGTGTTTTTCTCAGGGTTACTTCCTTCCTGTCTGTTTCAAATAAGTTTCACCAGGCAAAGATCTGACAGAGTTGCCCAGTTTTGATCAGCCCGAATGTCATCGGATTTTGAACACGGAAGGAGAAAGCACCATTCAGTTAGGGGAGAAACCCTACACGTGTTCTGTGTGCGGGCAAGGCTTCAGCTGATCATCGGGCCTGAAGAATCACAATTGCAGTCGCACTCGGGAGAAACTATGGAAATGTGGGCACTGTGAGGAAGGATTCAGATCTCCATCGGAGCTTACATTTTGGTAGGAGTAACAGTAAAAAAGATTATTACTTGAATGGTAAAAAGTTGCAGTATGCTGCTATGCAGAGGGACCTGGGTGTCCTTGTGCATGAATCACAGAAGGTAGGTCTGCAGGTACAACAAGTAATTAGGAAGGCAAATGGAATTTTGTCCTTCATTGCTAAAGGGATTGAAATTAAAAGCAGAGAGGTTATGTTGCAGCTGTACCAGGTGCTGGTGAGGCCACACCTGGAGTACTGTGTGCAGTTTTGGTCTCCTTACTTGAGAAAGGATGTATTGGCACTGGAGGGGTTACAAAGGAGGTTCACGAGGTTGATTCCGGAGTTGAGGGGGTTGGCTTATGAGGAGAGACTGAGTAAATTGGGATTATATTCATTGGAATTCAGAAGATTGAGGGGGGATCTTATAGAAACATATAAAATTATGAAGGGAATAGATAAGATAGAAGTAGAGAGGATGTTTCCACTGGCAGGTGAAGCTAGGACAAGAGGGCATTGCCTCAAGATTAGAGGGAGCAGATTTAGGACTGAATTGAGAAGGAATTTCTTCACCCAGAGGGTTGTTAATCTATGGAATTTCTTGCCCAGTGAAGTAGTTGACGCTACTTCAGTAAACGTTTTTTAAAAAAAAGGTAGATTTTTTTTGAACAATAAAGGAATTAAGGGATACGGTGAGAACGCGGGTAAGTGGATCTGAGTCCACGAAAGGATCAGCCATGATCTTATTGAATGGCGGAGCAGGTTCGAAGGGCCAGACGGCCTACTCCTGCTCCTATTTCTTATGTTCTTACGTTCTTAAAGTTCACCAACACAGTCACATAGGGGAGAGACCATTCACCTCCTCCAAGTGTGGAAAGGGATTCACTCGGTCATTCACCATGATGTCCCGTCATCGTGTTCGCACTGAGGAGAGACTTGTTAAATGTCCAGACTGTGGCAAGTGCTTTAAAAATTCAGGCAATCTAATGTGCCATCAACGAGTTTACTCTGACGAGAGACCATGTGAATGTTCAGTTTGTGTGAAATGTTTTAAGAGTCCCAACAATCTAATGTCCCATCGACGTGTTCACCTGGATGAGAGACATTTCAAATGTTCAGTGTGTGGAAAGTGCTCTAAAAGTTCTGGGGAACTGAAGTACCATCAACGTGTTCACAGTCAAGAGTGCCTTTTTAAATACTTGGACACTGGGAAGTGTTACAAACATTCTGGGGAACTTAAATATCATCAGCTTGTTCACACCTATGAGAGACCTTTTAAATGCTCAGACTGTGGGAAGTGCTTATAAAAGCTCTGGGGAACTGATGCGCCATCCACGGGTTCACACTGATGAGGGGCCTTTTATGTGTACAGACCGTGGAAAGCATTTTAAGAGTTCTGGGGAACTGATGTCCCACCAATGCATTCACACAGACGAGAGACCATTTGGTTGCTCTAAGGGTGGGGCCCGTTTCAGGCGATCATCTCAAGTCTTCGTCCGCCAGTGAGTTCACACTGGAGAGAGAAAAATTCATCTGCTGCGAGTGCGGGAAGGGATTCATTCAGTCATCCAACCTACTGAGCCACCAGCTAGTTCACAAGTAGTCACAGTGATTGGGTTTTGCTGTTAGTCACATCCAGGTCCCAACAACGTTCAATTAGAAGTGGCTCAATTACTCATGGAATATGAGCAGCACTGGCTGGGCCAGCATTTATTGCCCATCTCTAGTTGGCCTTGAGATGGTGCTAGTGAGCTATCTTCTGCTACAATTTGTGTAGGGAAACTCACAGTGCCATTAGGGAGGGAG